CACACACACACACACACACACACACGCACGCACACACTCACACACACACACACACACACACACACACACACCATGGAAGGGAGACGAACTCTGACTGCCAAACGCAGGAAATTCACAACTGGAACAAACACAGAGGATGGGATGGAACAGGAAGCCTGGATGAAGGAAGTACTCCAGCAAATGCAGAATGAATTCAGTGAAGGACTGAGGGTAATGAGGGAGACAGTAGCCAACCTGCAAGATGATTTAAGGGCAGCAAAGGAGGAGATAAGATACCTAAAGGAGACTCTTCCACAATACCAGGCACAAACCGTACCCCAGGGAGATGGGAATGCTACTGTGGAGGGGACCACCACAACCCAGATCTCATTTGCTGAAATGCTTAAAAAGAGCCCTGAAGCTAGGTCTGCGGTTAAGGAAGTTGCCATGGAAGTGGCTTCCTCTCAGGAAGCAGCTAGATGTACTAGCCGGCTGATAGAGAGAAATAGAGCAGTAGTAGTAGCAGGCATTGAAGAACAAACAGGGACCAGACCAAAGGAGCGGAGAGACAAGGACAAAAACATGATTAAAGAGATCCTTAAAGAGGTAAGGATGGAGGGAGCTGAGCGAAATGTTGAAAAGGTTTTCAGGCTTGGAAAGTACAACAAGGACAGAGACCGAATGATAAAGGTGGTTTTCATGAGCGAAATCGCGAAAGAGGAACTGCTAGCAAGGAAGTGTTGTCTAAAAGGTGTAGAGAAGTTCAAGAAAATATTCCTGCAGAGGGATATGACAAGGGAAGAGAGAATACGGACAGCAGACGCGAGGAAGGAGCGCAGGAAGAGAGAAGGAAATCAGAGTACCACAACCCAGAACCCTACAATCCCAGAGGGAAGTGGAGAACCCTCCTCAAACAGTGCAACAGCCACAGGGATTGGGGCACCACCCCCAAATTCTACCCAACAGACACCCAACCTGCCCCATCCCCTGTCAGCCCCCCACTAAGTACCCACCTAGGGCACCCTCCCCCCACCCACCCCCCACCCCCCACTCACCCCCCTTCTCCCCCTCACCCCTCTCCCCAGGACCTCCCTTCTCCCCCATCCCCCATGCCCTCCCTTCTCCCACATGCCTTCCCGTCTCTCCCACCCCCATGCCCTCCCTTCTCCCCCTCCCCCCTAAGCCCCCCACTCTCCCCCACCCCACCTAAGTCTTCCCCTCTCCCCCACTCCCCTAAACCCTCCCCTCTTCCTCACCCACCTCAGCCCTCCCTTTTCCCCCACGCCCCCCAAGCCCTCCACCCTTTTCTCTTCCCCCAAGCCCCCCCATCTCCCCTATCCCCCACAGCCTCTCCTCCCCCCATGCTTCCCCAACCCTCCCTCTCTTACCCACCCCCTGTACCCTCCCCCTCTTATCCACCCCCTGTACCCTCCCCCTCTTATCCACCCCCTGTACCCTCCCCCTCTTATCCACCCCCTGTACCCTCCCCCTCTCCCCCACCACCCCAAGCCCTCCCTCCTCCACCAATCCCCCCGTGCCAGGTCCCCCCAGCTCCCACTCACCCCAGATCCCAAAGGTCCCCCCCAGAAAAGAAGCAGAAGAGAGTCAGTTTCAGGGTGATGTACTCGAACATAGATGGGATCACAAGCAAGACAAGTGAACTAAGGGAAAGAGCACAAGAAGTTAACCCAGATGTAATCGGACTCACTGAAACAAAACTCTCTGGAATCATAACGAATGCCGTGTTTCCCCAGGAGTATACAGTAATAAGGAAAGAGAGGGAAGGTAGAGGAGGAGGCGGAGTGGCCCTACTCATGAGAAGGGAATGGAGTTTTAAGGAGATGGCCATCCCGGGCTGTGAGGAGTTCAGAGACTACATAGCAGGCACCATAACAATGGGAGGACCAAGAATAGTAGTAGCAGTAATATACAACCCTCCACCAAATGACAGGAGACCCAGTCAAGAGTATGAAAACAACAACAAGGCAGTTAACACTATAATTGAGAGGGCAGCCTCTGCTGCCTGTAGAAATAGATCCCACCTGCTCATCATGGGCGACTTCAATCACGGAAAGATTGACTGGGAGAACAAGGAACCGCATGGAGGCGAGGATACGTGGAGAGCCAAACTATTGGAGGTGGTGACAAGCAACTTTTTAACGCAGCATGTCGGAGAACCCACAAGGATGAGAGGCAATGACGAACCAGCGAGACTCGACCTAGTCTTCACTCTGAACGACTCCGACATAAGAGAAATCGGTTTTGAGGACCCAGTAGGAATGAGCGACCACAGTGTACTGGTGTTTGAGTACTTGATTGAAGAAGGGTTATTGAACTCGAGGAGGGATACCGAAACCAAAAGGTTAGCATACCGAAAGGGAAACTATGAGGGGATAAGAAAATTCCTAACAGATATAGCATGGGAAACAGAGCTCAGGGGAAAGACGGCCCAAGATATGATGGATTACATCACGCAGAAGTGCAAGGACGCAGCAAACAAGTTTGTCCCAGTCCAAAAGGAAAACAGAGAAATGAAGATGAGAAACCCATGGTTTAATCAAAGATGTAGGCTAGCTAAGCAGCAAAGTAAAAGGGCATGGAGAAACTATAGGAATAACAGGACACTGGAGAGCAGAGAAAGATACCAGAATGCCAGGAATGAATATGTCAGGATGAGAAGAGAGGCAGAAAGACAATACGAAAATGACATCGCAAGCAAGGCAAAGACTCAGCCTAAATTGTTGCATAGCCACATTAGGAGAAAAACAACAGTAAAGGAACAGGTTATGAGATTAAGGATAGGGGCGGAAGGATTCACTACAAATGACAAGGAAGTGTGTGAGGAATTGAATAAGAAATTCCAGGAGGTCTTCACCTTAGAACAAGGAGAAATTCCAGAGAATTTCTGGAATTTCCAGAGTGAGGGAATAGCTAACCAGGAACCACTGGAAGAGTTTGAGATTACCAGTGGGGAAGTAAGGAAGTGTTTACTAGAGTTGGACGTGACGAAGGCTATAGGCCCAGATGGAATCTCCCCTTGGGTTCTAAAGGAAGGAGCAAGAGAACTGAGCCTACCACTCTCCATAGTGTATAACAAATCACTGGCAACAGGGGAACTGCCAGATACTTGGAAAGCAGCTAACGTAGTCCCGATATACAAGAAAGGGGATAGACAGGAGGCACTGAACTACAGGCCAGTGTCCCTAACCTGCATACCATGCAAGCTGATGGAGAAGATTGTGCGAAAAAAACTAGTGGAGCATCTGGAGCGAAGGAACTTTGTAACACAGCATCAACATGGGTTCAGGGATGGCAGGTCCTGCCTCACAGGGTTACTTGAATTCTACGACCAGGCAACAAAATAAGGCAAGAAAGAGAAGGGTGGGCAGACTGCATATTTTTGGATTGTCAGAAAGCCTTTGATACAGTGCCACACAAGAGGCTAGTGCGAAAGTTGGAGATGCAGGCTGGAGTGAGAGGGAAGGTACTCCGGTGGATAGAGGAATACCTAAGCAACAGGAGACAACGAGTCTGTGTGAGGGGTGAGGTCTCAGATTGGCGAGACGTCACAAGTGGAGTCCCGCAGGGGTCAGTCCTTGGACCTATACTGTTTCTGGTATATGTAAATGATCTCCCAGAGGGTATAGATTCGTTCCTCTCAATGTTTGCCGACGATGCAAAAATTATGAGGAGGATTGAAACAGAGGATGATAGTAGGAGGCTACAAGATGACCTGGATAGACTGAGTGAATGGTCCAACAAATGGCTGTTGAAGTTCAACCCGAGTAAATGCAAAGTAATGAAACTAGGCAGTGGAAACAGGAGGCCAGGCACAGGATACAGAATAGGAGATGAAGTACTTAATGAAACAGACAGAGAGAAAGATCTAGGAGTTGATATCACACCAAACCTGTCTCCTGAAGCCCACATAAAGAGAATAACGTCTGCGGCATATGCGAGGCTGGCTAACATCAGAACGGCGTTCAGGAACCTGTGTAAGGAATCATTCAGAATCTTGTACACCACATATGTAAGACCAATCCTGGAGTATGCGGCCCCAGCATGGAGCCCGTACCTTGTCAAGCACAAGACGAAGCTGGAAAAAGTCCAAAGGTATGCTACTAGACTAGTCCCAGAACTAAGAGGCATGAGTTATGAGGAAAGGCTGCGGGAAATGCACCTCACGACACTGGAAGACAGAAGAGTAAGGGGGGACATGATCACAACCTACAAAATCCTCAGGGGAATCGACCGGGTAAACAAGGACGAACTTTTCAACACTGGTGGGACGCGAACAAGGGGACACAGGTGGAAGCTGAGTACCCAAATGAGCCACAGAGACGTTAGAAAGAACTTTTTCAGTGTCAGAGTAGTTAGCAAATGGAATGCATTAGGAAGTGATGTGGTGGAGGCTGACTCCATTCACAGTTTCAAATGTAGATATGATAGAGCCCAATAGGCTCAGGAATCTGTACACCAGTTGATTGACGGTTGAGAGGCGGGACCAAAGAGCCAGAGCTCAACCCCCGCAAGCACAATTAGGTAAGTACAATTAGGCAATTAGTAAGTACACACACACACACACACACACACACACACACACACACACACACACACACACACACACACACACACACACACACACACACACACCAGTATTCCCAGTGAGTGAGACACTGTGAGTACACACACTAAAAGAATAGGGGGGTGGTAGGGGAAAATAATATCAAAGTGTTCAGTGAGGATCCACGAGGTCTTCTCTGAGTACTCTATATTTTCTTCTCTGAGGCTATGGGTCCCTACACTTGCACAAGAGGTGGTACCCCCTTTTAGTTCTATATACAGAATATATATATTCGTATATTATGTGATCTTACACAAGATCACAGGCTTGTAGCTTCCTTACGCAAGGTTATCACACCTCCAAAGTTACTGAGTGGAACAATGCAGGTTAATTGTGAGCTCTGAGAAAACTATAAAATATTATTGTCGCTTTGCTTACCCGTGAGTAATTAGATACGATGAGTAGGGAATCATCAAACTCATCCCCCGTCATCTTCCTCATTCATCTCCAGCCTCATATCTGCCAATATCATCAACCTTACATCTTCCTGTATCATCAATCTCACACCTCAGCATCATCATCAACCTCATACCCCCAGCATCATCAGCCTCACATCCCAACATCATCAACCTCATACCCCCAGCATCATCAACCTCATACCCCCAACATCATCAGCCTCACATCACAGCATCATCAGCCTCACATCCCAGCATCATCAACCTCACATCCCAGCATCATCAACCTCACATCCCAACATCATCAACCTCACATCCCAACATCATCAACCTCACATCCCAGCATCATCAGCCTCACATCCCAACATCATCAACCTCACATCCCAACATCATCAGCCTCACATCCCAACATCATCAACCTCACATCCCAGCATCATCAGCCTCACATCCCAACATCATCAACCTCACATCCCAACATCATCAACCTCACATCCCAGCATCACCTCACATCCAGCATCATCAACCTCACATCCCAACATCATCAACCTCACATCCCAACATCATCAACCTCACATCCCAACATCATCAACCTCACATCCCAGCATCATCAACCTCACATCCCAGCATCATCAACCTCACATCCCAACATCATCAACCCCACATCCCAACATCATCAACCCCACATCCCAGCATCATCAACCTCACATCCCAGCATCATCAACCCCACATCCCAGCATCATCAACCTCACATCCCAACATCATCAACCCCACATCCCAACATCATCAACCCCACATCCCAGCATCATCAACCTCACATCCCAACATCATCAACCTCACATCCCAGCATCATCAGCCTCACATCCCAACATCATCAACCCCACATCCCAACATCATCAACCCCACATCCCAGCATCATCAACCTCACATCCCAACATCATCAACCTCACATCCCAGCATCATCAACCTCACATCCCAACATCATCAACCTCACATCCCAGCATCATCAACCTCACATCCCAACATCATCAACCTCACATCCCAGCATCATCAGCCTCACATCCCAACATCATCAACCTCACATCCCAGCATCATCAGCCTCACATCCCAACATCATCAACCTCACATCCCAGCATCATCAGCCTCACATCCCAACATCATCAACCTCACATCCCAGCATCATCAACCTCACATCCCAGCATCATCAGCCTCACATCCCAACATCATCAACCCCACATCCCAACATCATCAACCCCACATCCCAGCATCATCAACCTCACATCCCAACATCATCAACCTCACATCCCAGCATCATCAACCTCACATCCCAACATCATCAACCTCACATCCCAGCATCATCAACCTCACATCCCAACATCATCAACCTCACATCCCAGCATCATCAGCCTCACATCCCAACATCATCAACCTCACATCCCAGCATCATCAGCCTCACATCCCAACATCATCAACCTCACATCCCAGCATCATCAGCCTCACATCCCAACATCATCAACCTCACATCCCAGCATCATCAACCTCACATCCCAGCATCATCAACCTCATCATTAAAACCGGACGTTAAACTACCCTCTAAAGAGTATGGCACTGTTTGGCCCCTTTATGTTTTTTTAACTCTCGCTTCAAAAGCAGAGGGCTATTGCTTTTGCCTTGTGCGCGCGCTATTGTGTTTGTACTGACCTGGTTGTACAGCTCAGTCGTGCAGTAGCTCTTGGACCCCAAACATTTCCAAGTAATTAACCTAGTGAATCGTGACTCTGTTATTTCATATATATATATATCCATATATATAAATTATTGCAAAGTGTTCAGTGAGGATCCACAAGGTCTTCTCTGAGTACTCTTTATTTTCTTCTCCAAGGCTATGGGTCCCTTACACTTGCACCAGAGGTGGTACCCCTTCTAGGTTAATTTTTGCATATATATTTTTTTTCACTGTATCTATTCTGTTTTTTCCTACATTGTTTCGATAAATTAAGCTGTTATTTTATTGAAGCTATTTGGAACCTGACTTTGAGGACATTCTATGTATGTATTACATGTATCTCTCACGTTTTAGTCTCTAAGGAGTTAATTTTAAGTGTTTTGAAAGCGTTTTTGTAATTTAAATGTCTTATTGTGTCTTGAGTGCAGTTTGTAATATGTTTATTCATTTCTGTTTCATAAATTTCCCTGATTTGGTAATAAAGGTGAGTACCGAGCAGTACTCAAGACTTGAAAAGCAGTTTCATTGCTGCTGAAGGGATTATGTTGTACTCACCTAGTTGTGTTTGCGGGGGTTGAGCTCTGGCTCTTTGGTCCCGCCTCTCAACCGTCAATCAACAGGTGTACAGATTCATGAGCCTATCGGGCTCATGATGTGGTGTTGTTGGAACGTAGAATGATATAGAACCTGACTAGAACGTTATATCATCCGATATCATTATTCCAACCCGTTCTCGCAAATTCGTAAAGTCAATATTGACTTATTAACTACGTGCATAGGTGATATACTAAACATAATAGATACCCTTAAAAAGATTCATAGAAAACACCGACCTTACCTAACCTTGTTAGTATCTTAAGATAAGCAACTTATTGCTTCGTAATTACAATTATTACTTAACCTATACCTATTATAGGTTAGGTAATAATTGTAATTACGAAGCAATAAGATGCCATTATTCCCAGGCCTTCACGTGTCGTTTCCGTTCTATGAGGATATCTGATTGTCTTTAATCCTATATCCAGTTCAAGTTATTAACTTTTTCAACATCTTCAGTAGCTGGAACTTATCACTATTGAAAATGATGATGTCATCTTTCCCAGTGGAAGACTTTTTTTCATATCTGTAGTGTTTCAATCATAGAACAAAACTGAAAATTTACCCATTGCAGCAAACTGGGAAAAGTGGCATAGAAATTGCTTTAATTTGAACTTTCTTGTTATATAAATAGTTGTGAATAACGTCCTCAGCAGGTGAAGTAATTACACGGTGTGCAGAGAGGGTGCGTTCCACACTCTATGTGCTGGCGTAGAGGGAGTGTGGATGGGGGTGTGGGTAGGGTGTTTCTTGTGAGTGTGAAAGGGTGGAATTTGGGGGGATAGGGGGATGAAATATCTCCTTGTGTAAGGGGTGGGGAGGGTGGGGGTTTTATGAGTAATGAGTCTGATGATTCACCAGAGCGCATATGTAGAAATCATATGTATCATACGGGATGAACAAATCCACAAGGGCCGTGACGAGGATTCGAACCTGCGTCCGGGAGCATCCCAGGCACTGCCTTTGATGCATCACGTTAGTGTGATCTCTGTGTGTTATCATGTGTTATCATATGGGATCATATGTAGAAATTGGGTTGGCAACCAGTTCATTGCTTCGACCACACTACTGGTCGAGGTTATCTTGAGATGATTTCGGGGGTTTAGTGTCCCCGCGGCCCGGTCCTCGACCAGGGGCTAGATTCACGAAGCAGTTACGCAAACACTTACGAACCTGTACATCTTTTCTCAACCTTTGCCGGCTTTGTATACAATTATTAAACAGTTAATGAGCGCCGAAGCACCAGGGGGCTGTTTATAACAATAACAACAGCTGATTGGCAAGTTTTCACGCTTGTAAACTGTTTAATAAATGTAACCAAAGCCGTCAAAGATTGAGGAAAGATGTGCACGTTCGTAAGTACTTGTGTAACTGCTTCGTGAATCTGGCCCCAGGTCTCCAATCCCAGGAAACAGCCCGTAGCAGCTGTCTAACTCCCAGGTACCTATTTACTGCTAGGTAACAGGGGCATCAGGGTGAAATAAACTCTGACCATTGTTGTTTCTGCCATCACCCGGGGATCGAACCCGGACCCTAGGATTACGAGCCCAGAGTGCTGTCTACTCAGCTATCAGGCCCCTATTGAGTGTCTTGGTCCTGGGTAAGTCGTGCTTCTGGGATTACCCAAGACGCTGGTTCGATCCCCCTTCCCGTTCCAGAGGTTTTCAAATAGAAACAAACACAGAAATCACATTAACGTGATACATATCAATGACAAAATTCACTAGTGGATTTTTTCTTTCACTTAAAATGGATTTCTTTCACTTAAAATGGATTTCTTTCACTTAAAATGGATTTCTTTCACTTAAAATGGATTTCTCTCACTTAAAATGGATTTCTTTCACTTAAAATTTGCATTTTAAGTGTGTTGATGCCTCAAGGCATCAATATCGTACGTCTTCAAACTTCTCACTATTTTTCCTATTCTCTTTTCCCCCCATTCCACTCAGCCTATTCCTGCTGCCTTCCTCAGCATTAAGTGCAAGAACAGGTTGGGTTCTTACCCCTTAGATAAGGGTTACCCCCCTTAGATAATGGGCAACGAGAGAGCTACTAATTTTAGCGAGGAACATTTCTAGCCAAATTTCCTCTTAACTACCCATTTTTACGAGGCACTCTGTAGTAACTAATTGACTCTCGTTAACGAAGTAGCCACTTCAACCAACTATCTCGCTTCAGATATTTTCTCCAGCTGTTCCCTTGAACGATTTGGCTCTTGAGATAATTATTCCCATCTTGCGCAGCCCATTATAATGTTATAGATTCAGCTACTCGGAACAAGTTCCAAGTAGCACGGGCTATGGTGAGCCCGTAACTTACCTGGCACAGGAGCGGGGCAAGTAGCATGGGCTATGGTGAGCCCGTAGTGGACTTACCTGGCACAGGAGCGGGGCAAGTAGCACGGGCTATGGTGAGCCCGTAGTGGACTTACCTGGCACAGGAGCGGGGCAAGTAGCACGGGCTATGGTGAGCCCGTAGTGGACTTACCTGGCACAGGAGCGGGGCAAGTAGCACGGGCTATGGTGAGCCCGTAGTGGACTTACCTGGCACAGGAGCGGGGCAAGTAGCACGGGCTATGGTGAGCCCGTAGTGGACTTACCTGGCACAGGAGCGGGGCAAGTAGCACGGGCTATGGTGAGCCCGTAGTGGACTTACCTGGCACAGGAGCGGGGCGAGTAGCACGGGCTATGGTGAACCCGTAGTGGACTTACCTGGCACAGGAGCGGGGCAAGTAGCACGGGCTATGGTGAGCCCGTAGTGGACTTACCTGGCACAGGAGCGGGGCAAGTAGCACGGGCTATGGTGAGCCCGTAGTGGACTTACCTGGCACAGGAGCGGGGCAAGTAGCACGGGCTATGATGAGCCCGTAGTGGACTTACCTGGCACAGGAGCGGGGCAAGTAGCACGGGCTATGGTGAGCCCGTAGTGGACTTACCTGGCACAGGAGCGGGGCAAGTAGCACGGGCTATGGTGAGCCCGTAGTGGACTTACCTGGCACAGGAGCGGGGCAAGTAGCACGGGCTATGGTGAGTCCGTAGTGGACTTACCTGGCACAGGAGCGGGGCAAGTAGCACGGGCTATGGTGAGCCCGTAGTGGACTTACCTGGCACAGGAGCGGGGCAAGTAGCACGGGCTATGGTGAGCCCGTAGTGGACTTACCTGGCACAGGAGCGGGGCAAGTAGCACGGTCTATGGTGAGCCCGTAGTGGACTTACCTGGCACAATAGTGGTGCCTCTCCATGATGATTGATGAAGATTAAGCCACCCAAGAGGTGGCACGGGCATGAATAACCCGTCCCCATGCTGTTTTTTTTTGTGTTCGTTTATAAACCTGTCACAAGTAGCCGGAGGGAAAGAATGGATTGCTAATCAGGTGCTGAAGAGGTTTTTTTGAGGATACCCGACAATTAATTACTTCGTCACCCGCTGAGGCGCTTAAACACCTGCCTTATACCTTATACTAAAACCTTATACCTTTGTCAGTTTATATAAGAAGAATATCTACAAATATAGTAATTTGCACAAACATAATTCCAGATGTAACATGATTGATGACGGGTCTTGATTGATTGATGACGGGTCTGGAATGATTGATGACGGGTCTGGAATGATTGATGACGGGTCTGTAATGATTAATGACGGGTCTTGAATGATTGATGACGGGTCTTGAATGATTGATGACGGGTCTTGAATGATTGATGACGGGTCTTGAATGATTGATGACGGGTCTTGAATGATTGATGAAGGGTCTTGAATGATTGATGACGGGTCTTGAATGATTGATGACGGGTCTTGAATGATTGATGACTGGCCTTGGGGTCTGGAATGATTGATGACTCGCCTTGACGGGTCTGCAATGATTGATGACGGATCTGAGAGAACAGTGTGTGTGTGTGTGTGTGTACTCACCTATATGTGCCTGTAATATCGAGCATTGGCTCTTGGATCCCGCCTTTCTAGCCTCCGGTTGTTTAAAACCTTTTTATTAGCACGGCGTTCCGTCGTATTCATACGGAATATCTTGTACGTTATTGTCATATCTTCGTCTGGTTCTCCAACCTGTCTTTTTCAGCTCTGGGACAAGTATAGGCACTTACCTCTATAGACTTCCATGTTGGTTCTGTACACTCACTTGTTGGTCTTAAATGGGATGTACAATAGCTTTCTGAGGACCTCTCTGTCTAGGGTCCTGCAGGTTATCTCCTGAAATATCTGCCAGTTAGGTGTGTGCCCAAACTTTATTCAGCAGATGTGAGCCATTTGTGTCTCTGTCTGTCTGTCTGTCTCTGTCTCTCTGTCTCTGTCTCTCTCTCTCTCTCTCTCTCTCTCTCTCTCTCTCTCTCTCTCTCTCTCTCTCTCTCTCTCTCTCTCTCTCTCTCTCTCTCTCTCTCTCTCTCTCTCTCTCTCTCTCTCCCTCTTTCTCTCTCTCTCTCTCTCTCTCTCTCTCTCTCTCTCTCTCTCTCTCTCTCTCTCTCTCTCTCTCTCTCTCTCTCTCTCTCTCTCTCTCTCTCTCTTTCTCTCCCTTTCTCTCCCTTTCTTTCTTTCTCTCTCTCTCTCTCTCTCTCTCTCTCTCTCTCTCTCTCTCTCTCTCTCTCTCTCTCTCTCTCTCTCTCTCTCTCTCTCTCTCTCTCTTTCTCTCCTTTCTCTCCCTTTCTCTCCCTTTCTTTCTCTCTGTCTCTCTCTCTCTCTCTCTCTCTCTCTCTCTCTCTCTCTCTCTCTCTCTCTCTCTCTCTCTCTCTCTCTCTCTCTCTCTCTCTCTCTCTCTGTCTTGTGTCTTCATTCTTCGCTGTGGCTAATGAAGAGACCAAAATTCTGACAACTATATAGAATGTTGTAGAGTTTGCTGGCTGAAAACACGCTACTTGGACACACACACACACACACACACACACACACACACACACACACACACACACACACACACACACACACACACACACACACAAACACACCCACCACACAAAACCCACAAACAGATAAGCTCACAACCTTCCTACCTATTCGAACATTTAAGGCAGATACCATTAAACTTCAATTGATTTCAGCGTTCACTCCTCCGTTTTTCCGCCCTCTAAAAATAGTTCCCCCCCTCGCTTTTGTATGTAGTTCACTCGGGTTATTCCTATTCTCAATTCCCAGCTTATGGTCTCTCCACTTTTGACTTGTCCGTGGAGTGGTGAAAACGTATTGTGTGCTTGGTCGGGCACACTTCTCTAGTACCTGGGGAGCAGAGTCCATTTTCTGTTTCCTCCCATATATATATATTTGTTTATAAAATGGATTTCTATGTAGGGGTAGTGAGTGAGAGTGTGTGTGTGTGTGTGTGTGTGTGTGTTAAAGGGACTGAGAGTTAAGGCGTGGGAAAGGATGTGTTTGATTATTTATAAATGCAAGTATCAATGCATTGTGTGTGCATGCATAGTGTGTGTGTGTGTGTGTGTGCATGCATAGTGTGTGTGTGTGTGTGTGCATGCATAGTGTGTGTGCATGCATAGTGTGTGTGTGTGCATGGTAGCATAGTGTGTATCTTGACGAAGGTGTGTGTGTGTGTGTGTGTGTGTTCTTGTGTGGGCATTTGTGAGTGGGGAGAACATATAGGTTTATACCATATAGGCTGGGCTTATATAGGTTTGCTAGTGGGTATATGGAGGGGGTTTATATCCATGGGGTGGGTTGGTGGGTGGGTGTTCATGAAGATGTCACTCTGTCAACATGTGGCCCGAATGCTGTCAAAAGCCTCCCACCAGACGTTGGTCTTTTACGGGTTATTCATGCCCGTGCCACCTCTTGGGTGGCTTAATCTTAATCAATCGTTGGTCTTGACATCTTGAGATCTCCCTACGGGTCAGCCTATCCTCTTTCCCCCTCCGTGGTCACGGAAGATGCAATGGGCTCTCCATCTCTGCATTCTTTTGCAACGGAAGGAGGATATGCTGCTGGCGGCCTCATTCAATACTCTTCAACATTTCACATTATTTCCCATTCACCGAGCACTTGACACTACTCCAGCTTCTGTTTTTTCTTTACCAGTGTTGCAAAATGTATGGTTTATATGGCAATTTCTGTTGATTATGGCTTCCAAATAGCTAAACTAATTCTCCGTTTGCAATATCTTGTCATTCAAGGCTCGCATGGTTACGTTCCTCTCCATTTTCTTCATAAAAAGGAATTTCAGACTTTACACTACACTTATTTTGCATTCAGACTTATTTTACATTATGCTTCCATTTTCTTTTTTTCTGGCCTGAAACAACTTGATCTTTGTGGCAGAAAACTCAAAAAACTGTTTTTCTGGGTTTTTTTCTAGTGTTGAGTTTTGAGTTTTTTTCGGCAGTTTTGAGTTTTGAGTTTTTTTTCTGTTGTTTTGCCAGAAAATGGGCAAAGCACCAGTATCATCATTGACCTTCAGCTTCCCTTATATATATGTGGCATACCTAATCACCAGTAAGGGTCAAACGACCTTGTGCCAGTATAAGTTCTAAATTGTCCGATATAAATTACAAGTCTAATTGGAAGTGCTTTATGGCAGTTGACACACATCCTAATTGGTTATCTTGAGATGATTTCGGGGCTTTTTAGTGTCCCCGCAGCCCGGTCCTCGACCAGGCCTCCACCCCCAGGAAGCAGCCCGTGACAGCTGACTAACACCCAGGTACCTATTTTACTGCTAGGTAACAGGGGCATAGGGGAAAGAAACTCTGCCCATTGTTTCTCGCCGGCGCCTGGGATCGAACCCAGGACCACAGGATCACAAGCCCAGCGTGCTGTCCGCTCGGCCGACCGGCTCCTTGGCAGTCATATTCTCTACTGCATTTCGGTCATAACCAGTTCATTTTTTCTCACCACTGGCATAGATATGGTTTAAATGCAGTCTCGTTTGGCCTTCAGCATGTTGTCACTGGTCGTACTGGTTTGTAAATAGAGTTGGTGATCTGTGGGTCAAATTACTGGGTAACAAGAGTTGTGGATGTTTCAAGCGTAGGCTAGACGTTTGAATGAGTGTGTAGACATAATTAAGAGTACTCAGTAGCTATGATGCACAAATCCATAAAAAATATATGGATAGGTTATAGCTAAGCAAACAGGTTAATAACTTTCATTCATCTGTTGCTTCTCAAGTTCAAGTATGTTTATTGAGACAAGAAAGAAATACATCTTAAAGAGATAGAGTAGCTTAAGCTATTTCTACCCCCCCCCCCCTTTCCCTGTTGCTTCTCATTAGTCATCTGTTGCATTCATTGGTTATCTGTTGTACTTCAGTCGTTATCTGACCCTTCACAGTATCTTTGTATTCTCCAATATATTTTTCTAAGTATAAATTGTGGATTTTTCAAGGGCAATAAATTTTAAATTGACAAAGAACTTTCTCTAGAAAAACTTCAATACTGGACGAGGTGTGTGTCCCGTTTTCTGTGTTTCAGCGTCCTTCATTGTATTGCCGGCCCAACTGCGTTGTTTACTGTGTATATGTAACCTTTAGGCTATTCTGAAACTGAATTCTCATTTCTTTATCCCAATTTTTTTTATTTTTTTTTTTTTACTCAGACTAGGGTCTATAAGGGCTGTGAATTGACGTACCTAGTGAAGCTGCAAGCAAGAGCTGTTATCCTATCTCAGCTCATCTGAAATCTGCTCCTAGAAACTCGTTTATTTCCTGAGAATGTACTTTGAAACTATCATGTAAGGAACCTGGTGAAACTGCAAGCAAGAGCTGTAATCCTTCCTCAGCTCAGTTGTAACCTACTCCTAGAGGCCCATTTGTTTCACAAGCCTGTTGTATGCTTCAGTAGGAATAGCCCTTATTCATTTACAACATTAGGTAATAATCATATAAGGAAGAGGATGAGCCTGTAGCCAACTGTGTGCCAGAGTCTTCATGTGATCAGTTGACCTGATCTCCCGTGTGTCAACCTGTTGAGTGAACACGGTCCAGATGTGAGTCAACCTAGGCGTAAATGATCACTGATGGAATGATGTTCTTGAGAAAGGCACTTTCTGTATGAGACTGTTGAAGGTTGAGAGAGTCTCTCTCTCTCTCTCTCTCTCTCTCTCTCTCTCTCTCTCTCTCTCTCTCCTGCCATACGTATATATGTAGATCCCTCCACCATGCTCTACATTCACCCGCTTCCTTTGCTTACTATGCACCCCCGTATCCATTGTGCAGGCGGTGGTGTATCCCACACTATTCTGTGGGCAGTGATGAACCTCACAGCTCTCCTTTTGGGAAGGGGGTGGGGTGTGCACACCCCACATTGCTCCTGTGGGCGGCGGTTCACCCCACACCCATCCTTTGAGCGGTTATAAAACATTCACCAGAGACTAGTAATGGGATTACGGGCTCGCCATAGCCCGTGCTACATGGACACTTCGTTCTGAGTAGTTAAATCTAAAACAACAGCTAGTGATGGGTTGATAAATGCAACCCAATTGTATTGTTGGTTAAGGATTTTTTTGTCAATCAACGCGGCCCATTAACAACCAGTTTAATAATGGTCCCATGGTAAACCAGTTTAATAATGGTCCCATGGTAAACCAGTTTAATAATGGTCCCATGGTAAACCAGTTTAATAATGGTCCCATGGTAAACCAGTTTAATAATGGTCCCATGGTAAACCAGTTTAATAATGGTCCCATGGTAAACCAGTTTAATAATGGTCCCATGGTAAACCAGTTTAATAATGGTCCCATGGTAAACCAGTTTAATAATGGTCCCATGGTAAACCAGTTTAATAATGGTCCCATGGTAAACCAGTTTAATAATGGTCCCATGGTAAACCAGTTTAATAATGGTCCCATGGTAAACCAGTATTGTATTCAACCTTCATATTAGTTTACATTTGACTTTAACCTCTCCAAAAGGAAGAGCAAGACCGCGGGGACAAGGCCATGGGGTCCAACAGCACCATATAGAGCTTATCGGGAAAAATATGAAAGGTTCTTAGTCTGTCTCTTATCCTTGGGGCCAGAAACAATCATTGCAAGAACCAAAGGGACAAAAAAGGGGGTTGGGGGGTGTCACGGCAAGTTTCAAGATCTATTATTTAGAAAATTTGCAATATTGAGATATTTTCGACCTCTCATTACTATTAGCTGTAGTGTTTGGTCGCTTCTTTAAAGATGTGTGATTATATTAACATGCTTATATGAGTTCTCAGTCTCGAGTGCATAGCAAGGTCGTTTGTGAGTGCTAGTGTTTACTCTGGCTCAGATCATCATGGTCAAGTGATGCTGATGCTCAGAGATGAGCATTAGCAGGTAATGATGATTCCCAGAGCTCAGCATCAGCAGGTGGTGATGATTCCCAGAGCTCAGCATCAGCAGATGGTGATGATTCCCAGAGCTCAGCATCAGCAGGTAATGATGATTCCCAGAGCTCAGCATCAGCAGGTAATGATGATTCCCAGAGCTCAGCATCAGCAGGTAATGATGATTCCCAGAGCTCAGCATCAGCAGGTAATGATGATTCCCAGAGCTCAGCATCAGCAGGTAATGATGATTCCCAGAGCTCAGCATCAGCAGGTAATGATGATTCCCAGAGCTCAGCATCAGCAGGTAATGATGATTCCCAGAGCTCAGCATCAGCAGGTGGTGCATCAGCGGAGTAATAAGCAGGGACGATAAAGAATTAGCTGCAATTAAAATGTCAAGTCTGGACGTATGTACAAATTTGAGTGTAAGGAACGCATATAATTCCTCTACGAGGTCGGGAAGACTGTTATTTACGACCCCCGTCTCCTGAGGTAAGCGCCAGCGTCCTGAATCACGATGACGACATCTTGGGACATCTCAGTGTATATGGTTTGCGAGATGGAGACCCCCAGAGACTACCGGATCAGTTTGACTGACGGCGCCATACTTAACTCCGAGCACCGGTTGAACTTTTAATTAAGTTCCTGGGGCGTAATTAAGTTCCAGGAGCGTAAGGTAATTATCTAGAGAAAGCGTCAGGCCAGGTGTGATTATATAACACTTAGGAAGGGTTATGAGTATAAGGAGCTGGGATATGAGGACCAACTAAGAGATTATGAGAAGATATTAAGCGGCTGGGATGGATGGATGGACGATCCATCTCAAATCCATAGAGGGGAAAGGAACGGTGTATGTAGCTCATCTGGACCATCGAGAATCGAGCTCTGAACTTGCAAGAAGGGAGCCCTTTGTTGTATTCTTCGGCCAAAATGGTTATCTTGAGGTTATTTCGGAGATTAGCGTCCTCCCGGCCCGGTCCTCGACTAGGCCTCATTTTTGTTACACACACGCTAGGAAGCAGCGCGTAGCAGCTGTCTAATTCCCAGGTACCTGTTTACTGCTGGGTGAACAGGGGCAACAGGGTGAAAGAAACATTTTGCCCATTTGTCTCCGCCTCCACCGGGGATCGAACCCGGAACCTCAGGACTACGAATCCGAAGCGCTGTTCACCCAGCTATCAGGCGCCCGTTAGGGGGGATAAAGAGTTACACTAATTTGAAGATAAACACCAAAGGAGTAGAGATCATTATTATATAAAGTTCGGATTGGTAATATTTACAGTACAGTTTGCAGGTATTACTACATTATAACTACATATTTTAATTTAACTAATGTCTGATATGTATTTAACACCGCATGAATTTAGCGCGGGTCACATGAACTATCACGGTTGTGTTATTAACTTAATCCTGGGTAGACTGAACACTAACTTTGTGAAGAGAGTTGACCAGACCACACACTAGAAGGTGAAGGGATGACGACGTTTCGGTCCGTCCTGGACCATTCTCAAGTCGATTGTCTTCAGAATGTCAAAAGCAGCACAATTGACTTGAGAATGGTCGAGGACGGACCGAAACGTCGTCGTCCCTTCACCTTCTAGTGTGTAGTCTGTTCAACTTACTTTAGCCACGTTATTGTGACTCCTCGCCTGCATTTGTGAAGAGAGGTTGGAGGTGTAGCGTAGAGGAATTCAATTTCTAGAACGTAAGACTAAGTGTCTTTGGAGAGTTTATTACTCTCTCTCTGTTTTCTTCCTCTTATTCCCTTCTCTTTGCTTGCCCTAAATGTCTTCTTTCCGGCTCTGGTTCCCTTCTTGTCCTCCTCATCACTGCTGTGCCAGGTAAGGCCACGACGGGCTCACCATATCCCGTGCTACTTGGGGGCGTTTTTGTTCCCAGGAGCTGAATCTAAAACAACAACAACGTATCCCTCATTCCCGAAGTCCTTCCTCTAGTTCCCATACAACCCTACACCCCGTCACCATTCCCCTGTCAACTCCCCGTCCCCCTGTCAGCCCCCGTCCCCTGCCAACCCCCGTCCCTGCCAACTTGAACCACTTCGGTCGCTTCAAGCCGACATTAACCGGCGTCGCGTCCGTTCTCTTCCCGCCTTCCGAACGCGGCCCCAGCGGCTCCTCACGTCACACTTTCACACTCTTTTCCCCCCCTTGTTCTTCACACGTCTCTCTTCGTCACTCTTCCTCCTGGATGGGGCGTGTATAGTGTCCACTTGACACGCTCGGACTCTGCTCAAAAACTACATTTTTGGGGTTCCTGCTTCATTCCTGTATTATGTCTCTTGTGCTTCGTTAATTTCTCTCTGGGGACCCGTTAATTCTTACTTTTTTTTTGGTGGGGGGAGAGTGGGTAGGGGGGCAGGGGGGGGGTTAATAAATAGTCGTCTTAACTTCTTATAGTCTTGAATAAATCTACAAGGGCCGTGACGAGGATTCGAACCTACGTCTGAGGGCGTCTGTTCTTATAGTCTTTTTTACGGGCTCACCATAGCCCGTGCTACTTGGAACTTTTTGTTCCCAGTTGCTGAATCTTAAACAACAACAACGCTTTCTCCTTCTTACGGGCTATTCATGCCCGTGCCACCTCTTGGGTGGCTTAATAATCATCAGTCATTAGCTATCCCAGATCGTTTACGGGCTCACCATAGCCCGTGCTACATGGACACTCCGTCCTGAATAGCTAAATCTTTAACAACAACAACAACAGCTTTCCCCTTGATAATTGCTCTCCCTCCCTCAGGTTGTAAGTATGGCATAACCATACATGAAGCTGTATACTTGACCAGACCACACACTAGAAGGTGAAGGGACGACGACGTTTCGGTCCGTCCTGGAGCATTCTCAAGTCGACTCACAATCGACTTGAGAATGGTCCAGGACGGACCGAAACGTCGTCGTCCCTTCACCTTCTAGTGTGTGGTCTGGTCAACATACTTCAGCCACGTTATTGTGACTCATCGTTCTGTATTTAACAACATATCAACTTAGAAATAACTTAGCAGTAAGGCCAACCAACCCAATTGAAGTTAGGTTGATGTATACTAACCTCGTAAACCCTGCTGTTTGGCTTTATCTAGACTACACCTTACCTTGAGGTTACCTTGAGGTTACCTTGAGGTGCTTCCGGGGCTTAGTGTCCCCGCGGCCCGGTCGTCGACCAGGCCTCCTGGTTGCTGGACTGATCAACCAGGCTGTTAACCTTCCTTGCCTTTTATAAACAACAATCTCCCCCTTGTGTGTCTGGTAAATTTGACGGAGCTCTTGACAGGAGAAACGTTCTTTATAATTAATTATTCTCCAAACTTGGTGGTCGTCTTGACATAAAAGTCTAGCCGGGCGTTCCTGTATGCTTCTTCAGTCTTGGTCTGAATTGTTTAATGTATTAAGTTGAATAAGTCTTAAGAATAAGAAATGGATTTAGGCAGCTGTTGTAGACGACATCTGTGAGTTCCTCAGCTGCAGATGTTGAATATAGTCACTCCTATAAAGTGAATTATACCTTAATGAAATAATTACTTCATCCGGTCAAGGATTCATGGCCTATGTAGTACTTTTGTTAGGCTTTCAGTATCTACATTAAGTTATATCAAAGTTATGTTGTTATAGATTCAGCTACTGGGAACAAAACGTTCCAAGTAGCACGGGCTATGGTGAGCCCGTAGTGGACTTACCTGGCACAGGAGTGGGGCTGTAACTTGTCATAGTTACAAAGTTTGTGATATATATATATATATATATATATATATATATATATATATATATATATATATATATATATATATATATATATATATATATATATATAATATGTGTGTGTGTGTGTACGTACTCACCTAGTTGTGCTGGCGGGAGTTGAGCTTTGGCTCTTTGGTCCCACCTCTCAACTGGTGTACAGATTCTTGAGCCTATTGGGCTCTTATCTTATCTACATTCTACAATTCCCTGGCTATCACCATTTTTATATTGCAATTTCTACATTATAACATAATATTGCAGCCCCAAAATACCTATTATATTTTATTTAAGGATTTTATATAACGAAAAAATCCACAAGGGCCGTGACGAGGATTCGAACCTGCGTCCGGGAGCCTGTTTATATAACGAATTTTGTTTATTGCTCTTTCAACTTAAAAGTGTCTTTTTTTGTTTTAGGTAAGTGTGAAGATAAAGAAACGGCGTGTACAACGGAGCTGTTGTGTACCCTAAAAGGTATGTATTATATGCCTACACGTTTTTTAGCTTGATAGAGAGTAATTCAGGTTACATTGCATTGAAGATGTTGATCATGTTCAATGTCACACAGGACAGTGAGGATGGTGATCATATTCACTGCCACACAGGACAGTGAGGATGCTGCTCATATTCACTGTCACACAGGACAGTGAGAATGCTGCTCATATTCACTGCCACACAGGACAGTGAGGATGCTGCTCATATTCACTGCCACACAGGATAGTGAGAATGCTGCTCATATTCACTGCCACACAGGACAGTGAGGATGCTGCTCATATTCACTGCCACACAGGACAGTGAGGATGCTGCTCATATTCACTGCCACACAGGATAGTGAGAATGCTGCTCATATTCACTGCCACACAGGACATTGAGGATGCTGCTCATATTCACTGCCACACAGGACAGTGAGGATGCTGCTCATATTCACTGCCACACAGGACAGTGACTCATATACAACACAGGTGAGCTAGATTACTATTTTCAACAACCGCATCAATCAGTATTGTAAGTAGGCTGATGTAGACATTTTAAAATTATTACTTAACCTATACCTATAATAGGTTAAGTAACAATTGTAATTACGAAGCTATAAGATGCTTATCTTAAGATACTAACAAGGTTAGGTAAGGTCGGTGTTTTCTATGAATCTTTTTAAGGGTATCTATTATGTTTAGTATATCACCTATGCACGTAGTTAATAAGTCAATATTGACTATACAAATTTGCGAGAACGGGTTGAGCCATTACATGCTGCATCAGCCTACGAACAATCACAATATCAAAGTTTTCACTGCAACTTTGACATTGAGAGGGTCGGTCTATCTGGTGGTTTAAGGCACTGTTGCCGCTTCTGTTAACTACCGGATTGGAAAAGGGTTTAGAGGTAAAGACATGGTGTTTAGAGTTCAAGTTTTAATAATGTACAAACCAGTAAGCAAGTATACGAGGGATTGTTAGAATGTCTTCCAAGTTACCAGACTCAATGGTGTAGTTTGCTTGTTGATAGTATGGTATCTTGAAGTTATCTCGAGATGATTTCGGGGCTTAGCGTCCTCGCGGCCCGGTCCTCGACTGGCATCCTTTTTGTTACAAACGCCCTGGAAG